GTACTACGGCCCCCTCAACTTCCTCGTGTACAACGTCGGCTTCCATAACGAGCACCACGACTTCCCTGCCATCCCCTGGTCCAGACTTCCCGAGCTCAACCGCATTGCCAGCGACTTCTACACTGAACTCCCGCACCACCGCAGCTGGACCTATGTCCTCTGGCGTTTCATCTTCGACGAGAGCGTCGGTATTCGGTGCAGAGTGAAGCGCAAGGAGGGTGGACGTCTCGTGGGCCAGAAGACTGATTGGAAGAAGAACGAGCTCGAGGCTTAGATGGTTGGACATGTATCTACATAAGTCATGCGTGCTAGCAGTGGTATGATAGATATACACTGCTTAATTTACCTGGCGGGAATCGTGTATATTCGATGCTTAGACCGTATGTCTAGAGTATAGATTCGGCGTTGGGTTGACGTGGTCAGAAAAGGGTTAGACTCGTCAATACGATAATTAATTACCTTGAAACGACCAGACTCATAGTCTGTTAAGGATTTTACTCCGTCACAGTGAAAGAGATAGCACATAGCAATGCAATTTACCCAGGTACTTGGGTAATATTTGAACGAGGTACATAGGTAACATCGGTGTAGGCATAAGCCAAGGCCGGATCGCCATCAATAAAACGGGAAGATCTCAAAAACAATCTTATATACGGAAGCTCCGGGGGTGCATAAAGAGCTAGGCTAACCCTGAGCTTGAGGTATTACGACGATCGCCCAGGGACCGTAATCAATTTCAAGCGAATATATATGTATCAGAATGCTCATACCTTGAACAGCCAACGGAAAACAAAGGGGAATACATGCTAAAGTACAATGTCTGCCACAACGAAGGCTAGCTTAGATCCTTCGTCTCACTTCCGCCCATTTCACATAAGAGGGAGCCTGGCCTTTCTCATCCACCTCCTATTACTTCTCTTCGCCACTTCTCTTCGCCTAGGTATAGTCTTCTTCACGCCTAATGCTTTCCCTTTAGTAAGAAACTAATGTCCTAACCCTAAGGGGATTCCTCAACCTCTGTCCTAAAAGAATCTGCTAGAACACCATTCTCGCAACTTAAAAGAAGAGATACGCGAGCATGAAGCTCAAGAAACAAAGGATCGCCGCAAGCTTGATCGGCACACCTTCAGTACCGGCTGGTGCTGCCTGAGCTAACGCGGCAGGCTTAGAGCTAGCCTTATCCGTAACCCCCGTCTTACGCTGTCGTAAACCTTCCTGGTCTTGCTTAAGTTGTGCGATTACCTTTTCGGCTTGGATAAGTTGTTGCTTTAGTTCTTCGGGGCTTAGGTCACTGTTCTGGGTGGTCGCAATCGCTGCCACACCTGCGGTTGCCGGGAGCTCCTCGCGTTTGATCTCATTATTCTCAGTCTTGATATCCGTTTGGCTAGTTGAATAGTCACCGGGAGAGGAGTAGGCAGGAGGAGCTACATCTGGTGTTGCCTAGATATCCAAGGGGTATTAGCATGGCAAAAGAGTATGGTGAGAACATCAATAAACTTACGCCGTTGGCTGCGGAAGGCTTGACGGGCGTCTCAAGATGACTAGTGCCAGCAGGAGCGCCTACAGGAGGCATGAAGATAACCCGAATCTTCTTCTCTTGTATCGCTGATTTCTCAATACCGTCCCACTTTTACTTTAGTCAGCTAGGTATTCGGTATAGGGGATATTTTGTAGTTAAGTGGCACTAACGATAGATGCTAGGTTGGCGAATTCCTTGTCTCCAGTGATCGGGACCGACTGGACTAAGAATTTGTCTCGGCATTTCGTGTCGGGAGGAGGCTCCTGCTTCATAGCCTGGAGAATAACTACGACTTGTTAGAAGGAGAATTATCTTGTATCTAAATAACTTGCAAATACGCACCTGAAACTTCTACCTCTTTGCCAGGCTCAACCCGGCCAGAGTTGGGTCTGACACAATACCTTGATTGAGAGCATTATCAGTATTATGGCGCTATAGATTATATAACTTATTGTATTGGATATAGGGGGCGTACTGCTTCGGTGCGGTAGTTTTCACCTGTAATTTGTTAGTCAAGTCTAGTCAGGGGTTGCGCAAAAGATTATGAATAATGTGCCATACCTTGAAGGCTACCGGGTGAGAATTCGGGTTTCTGATCCGTAAGACTTCTGAAACTTCCGCCGTGAATGGGCCTACAACAATCCGTGAGTATATGTATATATAATAGCAGTAATGCGATACTGGGTAAGGTTCATGACGCACGATGGAAGCCAAGCTCCTGAGGATCGATCTCAACAGACATGTTGCTAGTAAGTATGTATGGCGTATACACACTGGAAGAATAGTATTAAGGTAGGTAGATATGGGACGGGTGTCGTGAAATGTTGCACTAGAAAGCAAATAAAAAGGGCGCCCGAAATTCGTTGGAGTGCGATCGCAATCTGGACACTTTGGCAGGTAGGCAGGTAAGCACCTATCGAAGAAGAAAAAAAAGATTATCAATAAAAAGATTCGGCTGCGACTCTAAAAATTATCGAAAGTGAGTCGGTAGCGTGGACTTTGGTAGAATTAGAAAAAGTAGTTTAACTGTGTTCGGCGATCAGGGAAGAAACGTTGAAGATGGAAATCTGGCTGAGATGGGATAAAAAGCACGGACGGTAGTGGTGTTGTCGTAGTTTGTCATGTTACGACATAGCACTGGCTTGACTGGGTCCTGTCCGACTGTCTGGGAGCCCTGGTTTCTAATGGCATCTACGTAGGTAGGTACCTACCTACCTACTAATTTACGTACCTAGGTACCTAATTATGGTGCTGTACCTTAGGGGAAAACTCTACAGATTGGGCTTAGTTCATTCTGTAATTAGGTACTTCGTAGCTTAAGGCTTGGCTCAGCCCTTGACTTTACATAATATTCTGCATAACTTTACACTCTTCCTATACCGTTTCTAAATTTACCGTAACAAATGGATGGTAATGATTTATCTATAAAACCGTTTGGCATTATATACCAATCTTGGAACTTCCTAGGAAGTTGGTTACCATAATATATGAATATCATCTTTTATTTTTTATTAGTGCTGTCTAATATTATGGACCTCCTTGAAACAGATCTCGAGAGGCCGACCTAGACTAACTGAAGCATATCTAATCTATGCTCAGATCTTGCACGAGTTAAACAACTCTAAGTTGTAAACATCTCGGCAGCAATATTCCCCTCTGAGAGCCAAAATATATGAGCCTTCTCCTCTTCCTAAATGCAAATGTGTCGCAGTCCGTCCAGAGTGGAATCATGGAAATACTTCATAGCAGGTTTCGTGGGTTTATTGACGGAGCCTCCACTCAGTAGCGGCAGATCAGATGACAGGTCTCCTTTGCTGAATGAGAGGTGTTGCAACCTTGCGTTATTGTGGTGGATATAATTGCATGAGGTTGTATCTTGCAGGATCTCTAACTAGGCACGCTTACGCTTAGGTTTCGGTGGTGCATGTGTTAGGTAGAATTTTTTTTTTTGAGAGGTCCATAGCGGATAATGTGATCAACAAATTCCTGCTCAGTATATAACTTCCGGGGATGTGTTTCCTTTTCCTTAGAATTGCTGCATCCAAGGCAATATAAACCGCATTTAGCATCTTTAGAAGGGAGTTCGAAATAAGGGGCAGAGATAATGCCCATGAATCGACGCGGATCCTTGTGGTTCCAATCGGGTATCTCGCGGCCTTTGGTCTTTTGGATGGATTGCACAGCTTCCCGGTCCCATATCGTTAGCCGATCTTTAAACATTCGCCCATTGTCCGCATATCGTCCCGGGAGGCTTCGAATATGTGGCAGCTGTTGGAGCTCCTTCCTCGAAAGGCCGGTAATATCACTTGCAAGTGTTCCATTCATGGTCATGAACCGTTTGTCCTCGGTAAAGCAGATATAACAGACTCGTAAACAAGTGATAAGATAAATATATCCGCCCAATTTTCCGCATAAGACGCAATGTGGTTCACAGAGCACTTTGAACAATGTTCCAAAGTCAAAGTGCTTAGCTTGCGTGCTGATGATATCGCGGATCAGGTCAGGTTGAAGTCGATAGACCATTTCGTATTGATGCATCGAGTCGATTAGCGACATAAAGTCTTTATTAACTCGTCGCAAGGTAGTTAACGAAGCAACGTCAAGTCGGAGAATCACATCTGTAATAAGTTCCGTAGGCAAAACGCCCAAGCGTCCTCGGCCTGCTGATTCGGTTGCTGGTTTGATGGGATGTTCGCTATCCTTGAAACGGGACAGGCGCATATGATCGGGACAATGATCAACATCGCCAAGAGTATGGGCTAGCATTGACGTCCTTTCAGAAGTCCATTGCTCAATAAGTTCGGGCGTAATAGATTTTGCGTCCATATTGAAAATTGATAGCTGGAATAACGGTCTTTTCACACAGAAGATGCTACCAGTCTAGATTGTTAAATCCGTAACGGTTTTTGAATAAAATATATACCTGGTGTTTTACTACCGATTGTTATGCACCGTGTTATCTGTTGGTCAAAATGTTTGCATTTCGTCACCTATCTACGCTAGTATTGAATTGTGAATTGTGTAAAATAAAGAATGCGGCAAGCACGAACCAATCTCTGTCGTGCCTACCTATGTAAAACACACAGTTTAAGGTTCTTGCCATAAAAAGATACACGTGCATGTATAGAAGTTAGATACTTTCGGTACCTTTACACGTTAGGTACCCACCCTCTTGTTCAAGACACTGCATCTGGTTTGAGGCAGCATCTAAAATGACGTGCCATTAAAGAAATTACAGTGAGTTAGAAAGCAAAGTCATGCTTATTACATTCACAGCTTACGTTTACAACTTCTATTCACTTCCCAATCTTCCAGCTCCAGCAGAACACGAATTTACTAGAAACAGTGTATAATTAACCTATCGCTACAACTTATCCTCGCCCCATTTATTTCCCACCAAACAACTTACAACAACACATCTTCTTCACTTTACTTCACTTAAGCCCAATCTTAACTGTATCCTAAAACAGCATCGCCCAAGATGTCACAATCCGTGCTTGAGCAACTCCTGGAGATGGGATTTGACAAATCACGTGCTGAACTGGCAGTGAAGAAATCCGACGGGTGTGAGTATCTGCCTTTAATTACATACTACTGGTCAATATGATTAACTGATGATGATCTGTCTTAGTGCCGGATGCCATGGACTGGCTGGAGAAGACTCAAGATACCCCATTGGATGAGCTTCTTGAGGAACAAGAGTCTGGCGCCAACATTGCAAAGATAGATGAAGGTGTAGTCGCAATGTCACTTGTCTGCAATGAATGTGGCAAGAAGTTCCGTAGTCAAGGAGAGGCTGAATTCCATGCCAACAAATCGTGAGAGCTATCCTATCTCTTTGTGATTATATATTATTGTTATAATTAATTATTGTTATTATTAAACTAACTTCACTCTCAGGGGTCATACCGATTTTGCTGAGTCTACTGAGCAGATTGCTCCCCTTAGCGAAGAGGAGAGGAAAAAGAGACTTGAAGAACTCCGAGAGCGTGTTAAGGCTAAGAAAGCCGGCAAAGCTGCCGAAGAAAAGGAAGAACAGAAGCGCAATGATGTACGTCTAGCCCGAGAACTTGATCTGATCACAATTCCCTTACTAATAATCATTTAGAAAATCCGCCAAAAGGCTACCAGAGAATCACATGAGCTTAAGGAGGAGCTCCAGCGCAAGGAGCAGATCAAGGAAGCGGCCAAAAAGCGACAGGAGAAGCTCGATGACCTTGAGGCCAAGAAACGCATCAAGGCTAAGATCGAAGCTGACAAGGAAGAACGTCGTCGCAAGGCAGAGCAGGCAAAACTTGCAAGAGGGGAGTCAGTCCCAGTTGCAGCTCCAGCCCCAACCCAGCCCCCCGCTCCAGCATCTGCTCGTCCTGCCGTTACTCACAATGAAGCTCGACTGAGATTGCAAACTTCCAATGGCAACGTCATGAAAACACTCCCAGCGGACACAACTCTTTTCGAAGTCAAGCAAATGCTAGAGTCGGAGAATGGACTTACCGTTACCAAGTTCGTTCAGAACTTCCCCAGAAAGGTCTTCGAAGGAAACCTTGATCTTGGTAAAACTTTGAAGGAGGCTGGTCTAGTTCCTAGTGCTGCTTTGATCGTACAATAAGCTACGAATAGGAAAAAAGGGCTGCATGATACTCATGAATAAATGAATAAATTGGCGTTCGGGCCTCGCTTCGGAGGATAGTATATGGATACATCATAGAAAGAATGATGAGCCGGTGCAAATATAAGCAATCTACGAAGATTGCCTGTGTGTGGATACTACTAGAGATCACTGCATTCATTTCCTGCAACTCACATCTGAGGCCATGACTTCATCTCACATCAGGTCGCGCAATAAACAACGAAGAATGAACAATTCACAGTGTAGTGGACTTTTTAATTCGTCTCTCGTGGCTTCATCTGCAAAGCCAATTGTCATATTAACCTATGACAGGGTAAAGGTCGCCCATGGCATCCTAATATTGCCTCCTTCACGCCACACCAATGGTGTATGGAACCCCAGAACCATGCAGTGAAAGTACAAAGGGAAGGTGAGTATTCGCGATCGCGGAACGTGTTTAATCGAAAAGACCGAAGCCCATGTCCTCGTCCGACTCTTCCTTCTCTGCATCGGGAATTAGTATAAACCTGCTTTAAACCATGTTGTGTATATGGGGATGGATTTAACATACCCTCTTCCTTCTCCTCTTCCTTGGCCTCCTCAGCGGCACCACCAGCGCCACCGGCGGCAGCAGCAGGGCCACCAGCAGCGGCGGCACCGCCGGAGCCAACGTTCGATAGCAGGTCCTTTACGTCCTTGCCCTCGAGAGCCTAGAATCGCATGCATCAGCAAATATGGTCATTTCCCCGCGGAATCGGTTAATTCGTCGTACCTTGGCGAAGAGTTGTGTCCAGATGGGCTCGACATCAACGATCTTGGCAGCCTTGATCAGGGTTTGTAGCTTGTCGGCCTACATATCTACAATTAGTATTCTTATGAACGAAGTCATATATATTTCCCTGAACCCCACGCTCAAAAGAGCTGTAGGAGGGGTACGCGGCGGTTGCTCACAGTGATCTCAACACCGTCATCGGCGAGGATGAGCGCCGCGTACGACGAGGCAAGTTCGGCAGTCGACATTGTTATGGATGTGTCTGGATGCGAATGTGGTGTTGGATGGGTAGAATTGTCGATCGGAAGCACACCTCGAAGATGTTGATATTGGATTTGCGCTCGTGAAATTATTAGCGGAAAGTCACATTCAATTCGCAATTCGCAATGCGAAATTTTTGGTGGGAGGAAGATAGGGTTAGCACGGAAGGAAAATAAAGATTCCGTTTAGAGGAACGGTCCGTTTTGATTGGCTAATTATCAGAACCAATCAGAGCCTAGATTATTTGCCCCGCAAGATCATCGGGAAACTTTACGCTTGGTTCATATGAGGTAAGAGGGTACACCTCACTACCTCGTAGAACAGTACTGCTTGTAGAAACTTAGAAAGCTTGTGATGAGCACACGACCCCACCTGCCCACCTTAGCCTTAAAGCCCACCTTGGGCACTTCTTCCCTCATCAGTGTTCATCTTTCCCAAGTAAACTATTCCTCCATTAATTAAATACAGTAGTAATCAAGGCCTTACTACGTAGAAACCTCCAATTACAGACACCTAGAGACATAGTTTTAGGAGATACCGCACCAAGGACAGTTTTAGAAAGCTCTGACAAGTTCCCCCAAAATCCCCCGCGTTGATAAAATCGTGTAGAGTAACGAAAAGAACCATTGGCCATTGGACGCTGTATGCACCTCCCAGGATTACGCATGTGTTATGCTACTCTACCGTTCTACAGAACTTCAAATTGATGAAAGTCATTTATAAGTAATCAATAGGCGATCATCTAGCTTAGATATCAGTGGACAAAGAGGGGAGCAAGGCAGGAGGGGGTTCATCCTATATTTCTCCTTCTTTATTCCATTTACTTTGAGAAATCCACGGCTCGCAGTCAAGGATTGCTCTAAAATTCGGCGATATGGAAACTCCAAAGATACCGGCTCCAAAGGACGAAGGTGAAAGGGAGGTACTCGAAAAGCTAATTGCAATTCGCGATCAATTGCAATTACGCAAACTCGACCGCACGACCTACGTTCGAACCCAAGATGTCATGATTTTATATGACCAGACCATTGAGCAGGTCAGAATCCTGAACGAGGTTAGACATGGGAAGTCGGTTGAAGAGAATAGAGGTATGATAGTATTAGAAATTGAACAATCCTAGCTATCCGGTCAGCTACCTATTGAGTCATCGTAACTAACTCATACTCTACTTTACCTATATAGTTGACAGAGTGGTAGACAGCTGTTTCCAATTACTATCACTCTTTTTCATGACTATCGGCCGAAACAATGAAGCCCCTGCCGCCTATGCCCTGACCTCGACTATCAAGCGACTCCTAGACCATCTGGACGAAGCCAACTTATTCTCTGCTCGGGATCTTGAGAGCATGTCCCAGACGCTTGTCCATTTATCGGAAATAGCACACAATTCTGCCAGCACGAAGCCTTCACCCTTACTTGAGACCTTGATTGTGCAACGGATAGAGCGATGTCGCAATCGTTAGCAAACCTACAGAAAAAGATTGAGGATATTGCAGAGCCATTACGGCCGACCGCGGACAGACTCGTCTCTATAATGAGACAGATGGCTATAATCAATACCAAATCAAAGGTAAATACTATCCGTCTGCGTCCGCCTTTTAGCACAACATTACCCTTGTTAATCATTTTATTCAGTTCACACCATCGGAAATACATAAGCGAGAGGCGAGCTGAAAGAGATTGGCGAGACACGAAAGGACGGGCAGTTCCTCGACGCTGATGGTAATATTTTAAAAGGTAGCGGAAGCGTCTCGCTGTTGGTGGATCGATGTTTAGAGTATACGAAAATTGTCCTCGAAAAGTGTGTTGTCCAGCTACATCTACCCGGGTATATTCACTAACGCTATGTCCAGAAACGGCCAATTTCCTGACAAGTGGAGGCCAATTTACGATGTACTCGTTGGCATTAGGAATGACCTTGATAAGTTGTCGTTGACTCAAGCGTGGTCACTGCGAGAAACGGACTTGTACGACTACCAACGACAACTCGACAGGATCGACGAAAGCAGAGTAAATGGAAATTGGGTAGACGATCAGGGGCAACCAGCTGAACTTTATGTTCAACGGGTGCGTTTTCATTTTAACAGCTATAAATATAGTTTTGGCTAACAATATTTTAGACGCTTCTTTACTTAATCCGAAGGAGCTACGGTTATATCTATCATCTTATGATATCGTCAGAGCCGGTTTCTGAGGCTCTATTGCCGATTTACAATCAACTGCAGACGTTAAAACGTTGCCTCGTCGAGGTAAAGAACAGCGGTGGGCGTAACATCAGTGAGGGAGCTTTACCCTTATAGCATGAAGCTACATTCGATCGACAATATGAAAATTGACGGCAAATTCATGGTCGGGGAAGATATACCCGAAGGTCAAGGTAGGTAGCTGAATTGCTGGCCGAATGCTTCGACCTGAACTACGAGCTCAGAGTGGCAGCGGAGGCAGCAACAGAAACCCCTCCATCGGAACAGGAATCTTGAGGTGTTTAAACGTATTAAGAGTTGCGATGCAATTATAGAGTGGTGGTTCATCTCGTCTGGCTCGGCTGATTGATGTATAGGAAGTGTATTCTTTAATCTTGTTTTGTAATTATTAACTTCTGGAGGACGATGCCAATCCAATGCCAATGCCAATGCTGCCGTACCTTTCACTACAAGTAAGACACGTGCAAGTAACGGGTATAGGGTTACAATGAATATGGCCATCAACATTATAAATATCGACATGAACTGAATACATTATGGAGGACTTTGGTATTTAGAATAAGTCTAGCCCAGACATTTAGAATCTGAAAATCAGGGGAACCTGAACGCAAATTTGGCCTAAGAAAGTGATTTAGTATTGTTAAAAGGAGTTAGATGTATGGTATAAAAGCTTACGGCTAATATTAGAGCCTGGAGTTGATTGTTAGCCAGCTTCTGTACCCTATGTTTGCAAGAATTGATATACCTTCTCAGTATCCCATACTCCCGTCCTGGTATATATGTCTTTCTCAAGGATAGCCTTAACTTCTTCCTTAGACTCGGCAACAACCACTAACGTGCTGCCGTACCAGTCGAACGTAGCGGGGTCATCGCTTTCGGGCTTGTCGTTTAAGACAGCGCCTTGAGAAAACATTACTTAAATGCGCCGAGAAAGATGGAAGGCTCGGGGATTGCTAGTAATGCATACCTCCAGTCTTGAATTGTTTAGACTCGACGTACGGCTTCAAGCCCTCGAAATGCTGGCTGGAAAATAAGATTCACGTGTAAGCCCGAGACACAAGTCCCCAGAATAGTTGGTTGGTGGCGGTGGCGGCGTATTGGGCCAGACTTACGCGCGCACTTCCAGCCTCTTCTCCCGGGTTCCCGGCTTGTCGGGTACAACTACAAGCCATTCATGTTTGCCCGGCGGCGGTGCGGTAATAGACGCCATTTGGATCTGGACGGGGCCACGGAATAATCTAGGGATGGTGGTTACGGTTACGGATGCGGCGGGTTGGACTCGGACTAATGCTGGCTGGAAGAATCGAGGAAGGGTTCGAAAGCGAAAAGCCATAGAAAGGGGGGGGTTGTAGATATCTAATAGGCTAACTTCAAGACTATATATATAACTACTTATTTATTTATTTAGGTAGGTAGGTAGGTACCTACCGTACGTCTTCGATTAGGCCGGTGTCGTGCTCGATTGTTAAGGCTATCTACCGGCATTTTGAACCCCGAGGTAACGACAACAATGGCAGTTGAAGGGCGTACAACGTGTGGAGTATGTAAAGACGAATACCTAATGTAGTTGGTAGATAAGATACATGATGGTATATAAGAGTTGACATATAATAGAGAGGTACCGTGCTAGATCTACCTATAGTCTCGTGTAACATAATCGGCAAATTTATGCATGTGCCGTCACCGGCGAACCCGCCCCTCCTACCAGTCGTTTTAATGTTCTTCCCCCGCTAACATACCTCGAGCTATGTACCTTAGGAGGTACCTACCTTACCTTAGGTATTGGACAATGCAATTGTTACGGCACAGCTTCTTTCCGAATTCATCATTGCTCTTCCCCAACCAACCAGCCAACCAGCCAACCAGCTATCTGGGAGTTCGTGGTACGAGGGGAGCCTCCCTTGCTAGTTACATAGCCTCCATCTCGTCTGTACATTCCTTATTCTAATAGTATCTCTCGCACAGTCATACTTAGCGCACACGATACCAGGCCACGAGACTCTCTTCGTTGGCGGCTGAAGAAAAGAAAAAAAAAGAAAAAGCCTCTTTTTACCGCTTCTCCCTTGGCTTTCCGTTCTACTTCCGCCTCGTTCCATTATTTCGCTCCTAGCTCGGAAATAGTTCAATATCGCCCGGTTTCTGTTCGAATGAGGTCGCCTCATTATCGTTCACGACGCCGCCGCTCGGTTGTCTGTGCTACATACTATTAGTCTAGGCGTTTAGGTTACATACCTTTTATTATTATTATTATTGTTATCGAAATTCCAAATCCTCAATGGCTAGCCAAGTCGCCAAGATGATGATCTAGGATCTCGCCTAAGGGGGGGAAGAACGCCCTTTCGTTATGTACACTACCTTTAGGTATGTAGTGTATGTACGTATACGGCGGGATCATATGTCAGAGCTTGGGGTTATCATCGGCGTTGCAAAAATGTGTCGTCATCGTTAGTTCTCCATAGCCCACCCCATGCCATCGTGGCAGCGTGGTCCCTGAAAATGCCATATCGTCGGTCTTCGGCGGTCTGGATACCCCTAACAAGCCGTGCCAGGGTGCAACCCTCCAAATTTCTCCAGGTATCATGACCTGCTATTAGTAGAATCCGGGGAGCCTCGGCAGGTTCATGAGTTATTTTGTTTAGCTTTTAAGTCTGACCAATTCCCTTCTTTGAAGAGGGTTGTCTATTAGAGAGAGACATATTGTTATTATTCTTTGACAACTCATCTGACCTAAGTAATTGCTTCTATACTTAACTACTTAGGAGCCAATTCATACTTTTACATATCTATACGTCACAATATTAGCTTGTCATAGCTCATATGAGCATCATGCTATCCCTACATCTTCAAAGAGAATCCCAGAGGTGGGCAGCTCAACGCCAGAGCTACCCCGCACCCCCCTCCTTCGACAGCTCAAGCAGCTACGAGGACAGCGACAACGAATCAGTCTTCTCGAGGAGTAGCAGCAGATCGAGGTGGTCTTCTGTCTCGAGCGAGGCACCCGATGACGAGCCGGCGCCGGCGGCCTTCGAGCAACCTCGAGACTCTAACGGAGCCCCTATCACCATTTACACATCCCTAGAGCAAGCAGTAGCTCAGAGCACACAGATGGCCGAGGTGCAAGGCCCTAGGCGACTAGTCACGCCAGGCAAACTATACGAGAATGAGGAAGATGATGATGAGATCATCGAGTGGGTGGAGGAGAAGGACGGCAGCGCAGCAACGGAGCACGCCGAGAGCGGCTTCTCCCGAATCGCTGCCGGCAGCGTTATCCCCGTGGGCTGAAGGAAGAGGGGCAAAGGGAAAAAGAAAAGAAAAAAAAAAGAGGAAAACGCCAAGCTTGATGTGTTTTACAAGAGAAATTGTATTGCGACAGCGCACACCTTGGCGCAGGCTTGGGATTCTTGGGGTTTTATATTTTTGTCTACTCAGGCGTGATGACCCAAAGGGAGAACGGCGTTAGGAGGTCTGCAGCCAATAATGGGCAAAAGCGGGCAGTGCAAAGCCATATAAGTTCGGGACGGGCTGCAATTGTTTTAATTTGAGGACGGAATGAGTTATTAAGATACCCCCAAATACCTATGATAAAAAGACCATCTCGTCTCTAATATAGTTTTTAATTGGCATTGATCTACATTGCATCTTCTTCGTGATTTTTTATCTTTACGTCTCTTCGCCTTCTATCACCATATACATATGTACACCCCTTATCCCCGTTCGTCCGCACACCAAGGCTTATGTTTAATCTTGTGTTACGCAGCAATAATAAAAGCAAACGCCATTCTGTTGCTGAGATTATAGCTTCGCTTTGGGAGATTCCTGCTTCTGCATTGTCTCAGCCACGATGCGTCTCTGGATCTTCCCTGTTGCTGTCTTAGGCATGACCTCGGTAAAGTAGATCTATCATAGTTGATTAGCTTCTCTTTGTGGCATGACTATCGGAAATACTGGAACTCACCTTCTTGGGCACCTTGAACTTGGCCAACTTCTCGTTAACCCAGCCTCTCAATTCGTCCTGTTCAAGCTTGGCCCCGGTCTTGAGTACAATTGCAACACCGATATCCTGGCCGTACAGCTCATCAGGGATGGCAAAGCTTACTGCCTCCGAGACAGACGGGTGTCTCGTTAGCACATTATCCAATTCGATTGGGCTAATCTTTTCACCGCCTTTGTTGATAAGCTCCTTGATACGGCCAGTGATGATGATGTAGCCGTCCTCGTCCTTCTTGCCTTGGTCCCCGGTACGGAAAAAGCCGCCTTTGGCGAATGCTGTTGCGTTAGCAGTTGGATTATTCAGATAGCCTTTAGTCACGTTCTCGCCCTGGATGCAGATCCGCCCTCGGTGCCTTGAGGTACCTCATCGCCAGCGTCGTTGAGAATTTTAACTTCTACACCCTGGCCCAGCCCCACCGTACCAGGCTTTCGCTTCGCCGGAGGTAAGGGGTTAGATGTCATTTGGTGTGCAGCTTCTGTCATGGCATACGCTTCCAGGACAGGCGCCTTGAACTTCTCTTCCAGCTGATGAAACACTGTTGGAGATAGGGGCGAGGAGCAAGACCGGATGAAGCGAATCTTAGGCAAAGGACTCGGAGCAGGATTCTTAAGGAGGATCTGATGTATCGTCGGTACGGCAGTATACCAGTTCGCCCCGTAGGTAGCGAAATCTTGCCAGAAGTCCGAAGCCGAGAATTTAGTTGGCACAATCATGGAGCCCCCAGAGTAAAGAGGAGCTAGAAGAGCACAGAGAAGGCCGTGAACATGGAAGAGCGGCATAACCAGCATAGTCCGATCTTGCGCAGTAAGCTGATACGTCGACTGAATATTCTCTACGATGATTATTAGCACCGTACTACTTGGCCTAGATTATTGACTTACTCATTGTTCGTGTCAAGTTGCGATGCGTCAAGGGAACCTAGCTAATGAGTTAGAAAGCAGACACGGAGAATGCGCTGGGTTGATCAACAACGTACAACTTTGGGCCTCGACGTTGTGCCACTATAGCAATATGTTAATATTCATGTCTACGCTGCGTCGCATTTAAATTTCCGAAGACTTACCTTGTATGTAAGACCAATGCGACATCATCTGGTTGTGACCGCAACACGTTCTCCTTGGCCTTCCCCTTCAACTGGCCGAGATCTTTAACATCTAAAGCTACCTCATTCTTCACATTGTCCCAGTAGCACTCAGCGATAGCAGCATCGAACTTGCGCGCAGCCTTGACAGAGGGCGCATTGGCTTCGTATGCGCCCTTGGGTACTAGCACGATGGCGGACTTAATGTCTTCGATATAAAACTCGAACTCGGTCTGCTTATAAGCCGGGTTTAAAGGGGCGGCGATACCGCGCTGCCATGAGGTGGCAAGGAACGAGACGATAAACTCATATGAGTTCACCGTCGCTATCGATACCGGAGAACGGTTGGTGATTCCGATAGCGGCGAGCTTACGTTGGAAGGAAGAGCATTCGGTTATGAGGTCTTTGTACGTTACCGTTAATGGCTTCGGTTTCGAGGGTATTATGACGGCGACGGACGAGTCTACGCCATTGATTGAATTCTGGAGGGTAGCCATGTCGAGATTGTATCTAGTTAACTGATATAAACTGCAAGGTCGTCTGAGGTCGAGATATTGTATTCAATTACTGGAGACAATCTATGTCTACCTATGTATGATACAAGGAAACAACGCGATGCTAGAAAAACAAAAAAATGGATAAAAGCTGAGGAGAGAGTAGAACCACGTCGTAATAGGAGAGAAGAAAAAAAAAAGCTGTCTAACCTAACGTTTTGTTGTAAGTGCGAAACATACGATAAGCAAAGATCTACGCTATTCGGCAATGTCAATGCAAGTTTGAGGTTCTTGCCGTTACGTAGGTAGGTACCTAACATTATCGTTCCAATGCTGCCGTCTCAACCGATCCCCAGTACAGTAGCCAGTACAGGTACCTACTAACAGTACCTTAGGTACCTAGATACCTACAGCTTCCTCTAAAGCTCCCTATCCAATTAGTGCCGATGACCTGATAATTAGTGGGCATGGCGATATGAAACCCCTGTAAATTTAGAGAGTTTCTAGCGTCAACTTCACACTAAGGTTAAGGTAGCTACGTAAACTTATCAACTTACATTTCATAGCTCTCTTTTCAGCCTCGTGAAGTAGGCTGAAGGGCATAGTTAGTCTGAGTCTACTTGTCGCTAAACAGGTCACACACTTAGTAATCTCTCCGAATAAGCTTCATATTCAACCTAAGGAGTTACCATCAGAACCACAGGCATGGCTGCTCAACAGCCACGGGCAGGCCTATCCTTATACGCCAACCTTCTCGATCCCGAAGGCGACTCATCTACTTCCATATCTCGAGGTCCGGTAGTATCGCAAGAAGCGCTTGATGCAGTGAAAGAGCAAGAAGCTTCCAAAAAGCCTATTGACCCTGCTCTTCGCTTTCAGCCACATCCACAGATTCGCCGGCCCCAGCCGAAAACTCAGAGGCCTAAAGCCAGCTTCCCAAAAGCGCCCCCTCTTCCCAATACATCCAATGTCTCTGGCGCAGGCGCAGCTCCGGCTCCAACAAAGAGTAGGCTAGCCGACTGGGTACCTACTGAAGAAGACGAGTATATGTATGCGACTGTTGAGAAGAGAGCACGAGGTGGGCGTAAGAAGAAAAAGAAGAAGGCTGAGGATGTGCCCATTGAGACGGACTGGGATGAGATATATGACCCTTCGCGGCCTACAAATGTAGACGAGTACCTGCGAAGCGAGGAGCGGGTACGTGAGGTACGAGAATGGAAGGACTTGCTTTATAAACATAAGCGGCGCGATGATGATGATGATGAGAGACGTGGTAGTTGGGATAGCGAAGAGGAAGACTCGGCGCCAATGCAAAGTGAGTTGAAGCGTTTAGTATATCTTTGCGATCGCAGTTTGCTAATATATAACTTCGATAGATCAATTCGCGCCGCCAAATTCCTACAGTTTCGCACCACCACCGCCTTCACCTCCGCGAGCTTCATTACCAGACGACAAGACTGGCGATGATGCCTATGCGCGCCGTTTAGCCATGTCTCAGGGCAACATACCTCCACCTCCGCGCTCGCCAACACCGCCGCCGCCTCCACCATCAATACCTCCTGAACCAGAGGTCGCAACGATATCCCGCGCACCAGTACGTTACACACAACCAGAGCCGCTTGCGCCGCCTGACCCAGACGCCATGGACGAAGACGAGGACGAATACGTCCCCCCCGAACCCAACTCCGAAGAAGCTCCCGAACAGCGTGGCGGTCGATCTCGTGAGAAAGGCTTTGCCGCACGTCTCATGGCTAAATACGGGTGGTCCAAGGGTCAAGGTCTAGGTGCTGAGTCTAGCGGTATCCTACAACCGCTGCGCGTCGAGGTAGAAAAGCGGAAGAAGAAGTCAGATGCAGAAGGTGGCGGATGGGTCGGCCCCGGCGGACGCGGGCGCATCATCGGCTCCAAAACTGGCGTAGTATCCCAACCTGAGAGCAGCATCGGTTCCATGAGTAACGTCGTTGTTCTACGGAATATGTTAGAAGGCATGGAAGATCTCCAAGCCGAAATAGAGTCCGGGTTAGGACAAGAGATCGGCGAGGAGTGCGGTGATAAGTACGGGCGCGTCGAGAGGCTGTACATCGATATCGAGGGTCGGCGGTATATATCAAGTTCACAGACCAAGTCTCCGCTTTAAGGGTAAGTTGCTTTTCTCCTTTCATCTAGAACATCTATCCTATTTCTATTCTCTACCTAGACACAACATCTTCTACTTATCGAAGATCAGGGTTTGCTAACAGTAGTAACCGCCCTATAGGCAGTAAATGCTTTAGACGGCCGTATATTCGCCGGCAACACTATCCAGCCTCAGTTCTACGACGTGGACAAATTCGAACAAAAGATCTACGAGTAATTAGATTTAGACTATGATATCTCCTAATACTATCCTAGACGCGGAAGGGGAGCTCTAGGATCTGTATTGGTTAATTAGAAGACTACCGCAATAGTACCTAATTCAAACAACGATATCTGAAGATTACAAGTCTGATACTATATAAATCTGCCTTATATTGTTCTTCTTGATAAGAGCAATGATCAAAACTAAACCATAGGTGTAAATAGAATATGTGACTGGATACTTAGCCATGGATATAAGTACCTAAATTAAGGTATAATAAGACGGCTCTAATAATCATCACCTAGGGTTCATTATTAAAGTATTCAAAATACCGAAATTATTTAACTATTAAATATGTACTTATGGTAAATCATAGCTTCATGTGTCGTACGGTATAGTATGAAGCATTCGGATAATGGAAACCCATGTTGCTTCAAGACCAAATGTCCACACCGTTGTTCAGACCACAGTACACTCATTATGCAGCCGTAACAGACACTCAGTATAATCGAGAATATTAACGTCGTGCATAATAATACAAGACCGCAAGGTAAAGGGAATAAAACAAATTCACCAGGGTATTTACAAACCCGCTCACAAAACCATATCACAATCAACAACGAAACCATCTTCCAAGTAGCACATGCATCAATATTAAGTCTAGCGGTTCCTTATACGTAACCCCAGTTGCAAATTGCAACTCCTCAAATCACAACAGGTTTTTGACACTGGAAAAAGGAATGTTGGGTATGCCGCCATGTTCCGCCCCAAAAACGTCCATTTATTACAAGAAAGCAGCGATGGCACCGCTAAGAGCAACCAAGGTAACAAGACTGGTAGAGACAACATTAGGGGAGGCTGCATTTTTCTTGTCATCCGTGCTATCATCGGAGCTGTCGCTAGAAGCGGAAGAGGTATCGTTGTTAGCATCGGCAACCTTGCCCTTGCATTCGTAGTGGCCTTGAACGACGCCACCGTCGAGGCTCTTCAAATCGCTGCAGGAGTCGTCGATGTCCTCAGTGCTGACAACTTCGAAGGCACCCTTCACATCCTTGAGGCCAGGGAGATCGACTTCGGTGAAAGAACCTCGGACCTTGACGGCACCGCCAATTTCGTTGAGCTTGCTGAAGCCGTCTAGCTTCTCAAGAGCCGTGTTGTTGGCGACAGTGAAACCACCACCGATGCGCTTCAAAGCAGGAATTGTGATGTTGGTGAGCTGGGGGTTGCTAACAAAGGACAAATCACCGTCCTGAATATCAGTCAGGTTGGCGGCGTTGAATGTCTCGAAGTAGTTGGAGTCGAAACGCATGGAACCGTTAACGGTGTGTAGAGAAGGAACCGAGAAGGAGGTAACGTTGGCAATGGTCATGTTGGCGATCCACTCCAAGTTAGGCATCTCCATGGTGAGGTTAAGACCGTTGGCAGTGACGTATAGCGTGTTGCTCAAGCTCTTGATGCTGGAAGAGAACTTGGTCAATCGTCGGTTGTTGTTGATGTTCATGTCAGTGAGAGATTGGACGTTGATGCCGTTGATGCTCTCAATGAAGGTATCAGCAATAACAACACTCTTCGCCTTTGTAATACCGACGGTTCCGAAAGTAGGCTCAGGCAACGAGTTCAGGGTGGACCAGTCAATGGAACCAACCTCGTTGAGCTTGGGGAAGTTGAGAGTGGAGATGTGGGTAGCGTTCTTGAGAGCGAAGACACCTCCAATGGTTACCAAAGAATCACTCCTCAAGGTAGCCAGAAGACCGTTGTTCTCGGCCCTGAGATCGCCACTAATCTCCTTGAGCTTTCCACCAATGTCGATATCGGGTCCAGCATTCTTGTCGATAATAACATCACCGTCGACTGTGTCACAGTTGGAGATTTGGGTGGCATCAGCAGCAGATCGAATTGTTGCGGTCGGGCCATCACAGCCTACACCAACAGCACCTAATTATTGTTAGAAAACAGAACCGGTCTGGAGCGTAACACATGACTTACCAGACACCATGCTGAGCGCCGCGGCGGCAGCTAATAATTGCTTGCAGAACATCTTGTTGACTATTCAAAAAGTTGTTAGTTACGGTTGGACGATGTAGAAAACATGTTCAAGAATCAATTATCCTGGTTTAAATAGTTGAAATCGTTCGTTGCTCGAATTATATCCACGTCACAACCTGACAAATGTCGGCTGTGAAATGATGGGCATTGTGTAGATTATCGATTTATCCAAGATTCATCGATATTCGGCGTGGTGCATTTGGTGAATCAGGCCTAGGAGTAAATAGTAGGCAATAATCGTCCCAACCCTCACTAATCCGAGCGCCCGAACTTCGTCCCAATTCATCTTCGCCATCGCAATCCGACAATTTGGGTCGACGGTCATAATCTTGCCGATAAGGTAAAGTATGTCGTTCTAGTTCCCGTTGCCATGCGACGCCCACTCGAAAAGCGGACCAGTACCCGACTGGACGGTGCAAGTTGTTTGCCGAAGAACACGACATTGTGTCCAATCATACGCGTCATTCCAACCAAAACCCCAATTTATATGGCCGAGAAGTGTACCGCGACGTTCATGAAGCGGAATAATGCCAATTGAATAAGTTATAATAGAAGAAAAAAACTGACCTGATAGTATTCCCTCAAGATCCAATTTCCAGAAATCTTAAACTTCAGAATAATCTGAATGACTCCAAGTACGTCTCGACGCGGTATTGTTAGATATCGTGTTGCTGTATTGATTGGCTACTGATGATAGGAGAAAAAGTTGTGGTAATGAGGTTGCGAGAAAATGGAGTTGAACTCTAAAGTGGTAAATATTAAAGTGAGGAAGCTATTGAGCGAGTGCTCTTCCTCTTCTACGGTGGGAATATGGACAAAACGAATGAATCCGAATGAGAAGAAAGAGGAAGATGGGTAAAAAAGGAGTTGGAGGGAAAGTCAGGACAAGAAAAGGCCGAAACGTTTTGGAATTCTACTTTAGATGGATGGCGTGGCTCCTTGAGAAGTAGGGGGTGTGGGAAGAGTAAGGGAAGGGGGATTGGGTGGACTTTTAAGGGGTTGGAAGGTACAGTGCGCGTATCTGATAAGGTACTATCCAACCAGATCCAATAGTAGGGGATAAAAATGGGGGCATAGACTAGGGGATCTTCATCAATTTCAAGCAAAGCAAGCAAGCTCGGCAAGCCATGGCCTGTTGCCAGGCTTACAGGTTCAGTTGCTCCTATTATCCTGGCATGAAAAAAAAAAAAAAAAGCAGTCGGAGCTAATTCATCTGTAATCCGCCCATACATAATCCGTACATCGTATATGTTAGGTACATGTAGCATACCTAAGATAATATACCTAAGGCATGTACTTAATTGATCAAACCAGAAAAGGCAGCCAAGATGCTCAAGCAACCAAGTATATCCGTATCTTTCTTAGGTGTTGCACAGTTAACTCCTTCTGGCATATCTTCGTATTTATATCGTCACTAATGCATGTCGTTCTTTTCTCACCCTATCAGCACACCAGTCTTTCATGCAATTGGAAGAAACAGCAAAGAAACCTCATTCTCTTGCGAACTAGAATGCCGGAACATACATAACATCTGTACATACCTAAGTAGATAGATATGTACGCGCATCGTTATGTACAAATATCCCAAGAGAGACCCAAGATAGCAAGGGTAATACCGTATGAATAATAAAGACGGTGTTGTAATCTTCATATCAAGTCGAATACTTGGCGAGATTGGCTCCTCATTTTCCATGGACCCAGTTCGGCAAAAGCAAGGAATAGCTGCATGGTTTATTCCGTAAAGCATCCACCTCCATTAATTCACAATGGATCGCAATTGATATCGAGGGATAGGTACCTTAGCGTATCATACGTATGAGATTAATATAACTGCTGCTGCCGCCGGTCTGATCGGTGTCAATTTTTACCCACCACGCCATAGTATAAATCCACTCTCACCTTGATCTGATTCTGGAATTGTTTCTACGTTTCACGTCGTTTCACGTAGTGCCCTTTCCCGGATTCCACCACTTATTATTACATAGTATAGAAGCGCGGAACTTGACAGCTGAAATTTAGAACCTAGGCCCTACGTAATACCTTCGACCGAGCTTGTTTTTACAACAAGTCTTTTACCCATTCATATAACATAGTGTGCCAGTAGTCCGGAAGATGACGAGGATAGATAATGCCGATCGTGGACTGTGATAGACTGGGTTGACGCATACTTACCATAGCAACAATCTCCCGTGCAGCTTGCAGGTCTTAACTACGTACATTCACCGTAACCCCCATGTCAATTACCCCATCCCAATCGTGGTTATCGCTCACATGCGAGAGAGCTATGTTCGCAGGCGGCAGGATAGATTATGTAGGTTAGGTAGGTAGATATATATTCTACTTGATACAACTTCGATAGGTCTACACATAAGCCACTTCAGTCAACACAGTAAAACTTATCACAGGTAGGCAAGTATTTTAAAGCACAAAAAGATAAGTTTATCATTTAATAGTTAGTTATATGTTCATTGATAAGCAGATGGGTTTTTGTTTTTAGTCCTTTGTTGGTTCTGCGGCAGAAATAATGTCACGATTGGTTCCCATCGCTTTCAATTATGGAAAGAATCTCGATTCAGAATTAAATCTTTAAGGAAGCTCCATCCTGTTCTATTCCCAGCCGCGGCACGGGCTCGGAATGCACTGTATTTGAACCCATTAATGCATGCCACCTCCCACCTCCCTATCGATGTCTATTGTACCATGTATATATATAGCCCCACCCCCTTTCTAGACCGTGTATGCATCAATTAAGCTTGTGCCATCCTATTTTAGTGGCGCATATCATCCAGGCACATTATGGAAAGAGGCTTGTGGTGTAGCATGGCAATGCATCCGTAGTGGATGCTAAGAAGCTTAGCTTTATACACTAAACTTGATTGGGGGAAAGGCTACCTCCGTCTAGTAGTATGTATCTAAGTATTTATTTATTCTAATAATTCATCTTCCCACTCCTTTTGTCGCTTGGAAGACGCCTTTCGCAGCCGAAACTACTGGATAACACAATCCCGTCCAAGCAAAAAAATCCATAGAGATTCAACCGCCATTCAAATATCGTCAGCGGCGCTGCTTACGCGTCACTTGGACCGCAACTTGACCTGTCGTTGCTCCAACACGAGGAAAACACATGTATATTTTTTTCGTATTGACAAGTAAGTCGAATAAAACTCCACCTCATCGTGGCAATTGTCGACCGACGCAATCCTATTCGTTCCTTGTACGCATGCCGCTGCGTCTCGGCCCTCTTGATACCACGGGTCTGCGACAAAATTGACAACTAGCGGCGTCTTTTCCTTGTCGGAACTGCGTCATGGATTAACATCACACACCCCATTTCTATAATATACCAACGGCAATTTCATTAGCGTAAATAAAAAAAAATGAGGCTCGAGACTCGTAATAATTTATATGTGCTAGGTTTTCAACAATGCCAATAAACCGACTCATCAAACGAAGAAGAGTAGTATATTTATCGTAAAGTCAATGTGGCATGAGTCAATAATTAACCGAAATTGATTTAAATGTTCAGGGTGCGAGCAGCTACGCAGCAATCCCTTGACTAAGACTACGTGAGATAAATAACAAATATATTTATACATTTCAATAATATTTACCTTAAATTCAATGCCAATCTTGTAAGACTTGATACATATTCTTGGTGAGGTCTTGAAATTGTAGTTGTCTTTAAACTGCTAAGCCTCCTTCAGGTAACCCCGAGTATCGTACCACCTGTATTACATGCATGTATACAGTCTCATTGCAGCTATGTATTCGACAATTTTTAGTAACGTGACCCCTATACGAGTTTACATACAACACGAAATGGTGCCTACACGGCAATACGGCCTATAGAGTTACCTAGGTAGATAGGTATATTAACTAGTTAGATGTCTCTACATATACTATTAATAAATATGACAATAGCAACGACGATATATACATTGAATATTATGATTGGTCATAGCTGCAATGTTGGAGTAAAGTCCAACAACATCAGTAGCGACGATTATAGTATGTACCCATACTCCCATCAAATATACCAGTTCCACATAGAATGTAAGCGACTATAATCAGATAACTTGACCCCTAAATGCCATCATTCAAGACAAAAGTCGCCCCACGTCCACTTTGCTTGGTCTTGGACAATGAGCCCAACAGCCTTACGATAAACAGAGCCACCTCTCCTTTCAAGTAACATAACATGACTTAGATATATCTTGGGTGGCTTAGGCATGCCGGGATGGAGATGCTCGGCAAATTTGTAATACGAAGGGGTCGAAAATATTCGGCTCGTCCATTTTAACGTCGAAGTCATCGAGCAAGTTGAACCATATTTTATCAGTGTTCACGGCACAGTTAGTTATTCGGATGAATTCACAGTCGTGTGTCACGGTTGGATAAGATGCTGCACAGTCAAGAGTCAGGAACACGGTGCCAATCCAGTTATCATAATGCAGAATGCGGTATCTACGAAGGTTTGGATCAGATAGCTCGTTTGTGTGAGAGTTCCTTTCTGGCTCAATCGATAGCAATCCCGACTCCGCTTGGAAAAGGAGGTGGCCAAAAGTTTCATCTGTCCCATCTAGAGAAGAAGCTGCCTGGTCAATGGGCTGAATTCCCTCAAGAGACATGATCCAAGGAGTATTAAGCCAGTTCATAAGCTCGTCATCCGACGGGGTCTGGTTTATAAACAACTCGTCCCCCTTTGCACTGCGAAACCTTAGATCCTCGAGTTCCGATACAATTATTCTCGGTCCGCGCTCCCACTGTGTACTAACCGCTCTTCTAGCCGGATTCCACGTATGGCCTGTCCATCCCACCCAACTCCAACTAGGCGATCGTCGAGTCGCCGTGATGACCCAGTTGAGTGCCAAAGTAGACAATAGGGGAACAGTTTCGCCGGGAGTCCACAAAGGAAGATGTCGTCGCAATATCGACCTAAGGACCGGAGCACCCCTGAAATGGCAGGGAGTCTATCCGAGATACACGTGAGGTTCCGCTTGGTATAGTCATTGACTGCGGTGTTGTACATTTCCCAGCCTGAACCCGCATGGAAATCGGCGGGCATTATCCGTTGATGATAGAGATGATGCGTGTTGCCACTCCAATCTTTTATATTTGATCAGAGATGCTGTAGATGGTATCTTCAGCGCGTGTACCGACGGCGCAGGAGAAGAATACCTGGTCAGATGTAAATACTATAAGCCTCCGGGATAACATGAATTCCTGGTATGTCCACCCCCTTGAGTTCCACAATGTATCATCAATGAGGCTCTGAAGAGAAGGTCCGTTTATATATAACAGATTCCTCGAACAAAGCATCTAACTTGTGGGGTGTACAACGGGAGCGTAAGCAAGTAAGGCCTCTACTTGGATCGGTTTTGCTCGCCGCCGCTATAGTTGCTATTGCAACACTGTACACCCTGTCCATTTATGATATTTATATACTTTATCTTCGCTGTCGTCCTGGATGATACAAAGAGAATCCACCCAGAGATACCGCTCATCCAACTGCTGACAAACATAGATTGCGTCTACAACCGTCTGAGGTAGACGTGATTCTTGTAGGCCATTCACAGCGCTGATTGTCTGGAAAGATGCTTTGGTTGCTTGAATGAATTTAGTTTCGTTAGTATGGTCCCATACATATGACAAGGCGATATAACGGTAGCCCGGTGGCGCAAGGGTTACTCGTCAGTTTGGTATATCAATGACGCGGAGCTTCTGTGGCCATCGATCTGGTAAAGGCAAGTTATCCGCTGCCTTGACAAATAAATTGCGGTTTCTTTCGCAAGTATCTTTATGGTTCTTGATACAAATTTGTAGATGATGCTTCATTGACTGAAAATCGCAATGTCCTTGCGGGAGACTCCTAGCTGGGTAAGATGGGAGTTGCTTCGAGTTGTTGAACAACCTACTCTTGTATAGGTAGTCCAGGTCGATATATAAGAGTGACACAGATAACATGAGCTTCCGGAAAATTGATTCATCCATATTCTTCAATTTTCCATCTAGCCCGAAGTTCCAAATGGAAAGCTCTAAAGCCGTATCGACTTCTGATAGATGCAAGAATACACGCAGAGTATTATCAGAGCCTTCGGCATATTTCAACACGGAACGTGTTAGGATTGGCGACATGGCGGCTGTGGCTGTCTTGATGATAGCACAAAGATCGCCGAGATAGATGCCTTTACAGTTAAAGCTGCGGTACTTCCAAACCAAATCATCCGGCTTAACATCTCTACACCTGGCACATAGAGATTTCTCTTCCTTGGATACGGGCGGGCTTTTGGGGTTGAGAGCCATTTGAATCTTCAAACGACCTCGATATAGTATGTTACTAGTGTTTTTAAACGCGATACAAGCTTGTCCGAGCTAACGAGGGTTGTTATGTCGAACTCTGCCTAAGTGCTTAGGTTTCGTAAGGATTATTATGTTGATTACCTACCTAGGTACCTGACCCTTGCCCAAGTATTGTTATATGACATTATCTCAAAATGAATAATACCGCTTATAAGAAATCTCTTCTGGTGTGTTGGTACAATCTGATTGGGGGGTTGACTGTGGCAAGTGTAAGGAATATTCCACGAAAGATTCAGAACCTGTCGGTTATTGCTAGCAAATACTTGACCGAGAAGACAGGTTGAATTCTAATTAATACTTAGATTATTCTAATGTGCTCACGTCCGTCTCCTCGACTCTCCACATATACCACTGCTGACTGTTAGCTAATGTAGACGAAGCGGGAGCGTCAGGGGGTAGATTGAGAAACGTGCTCTTATACGTACCATGAAGACACTCCTATATGGAGCAAACTTTTCAGATATTTCTTGCATCTCCTTTTCTGACATGTACTTCCATTTCCCACCCTTATTTTTCAACTTGGCCACATCACGTCCGATAAACGCAGCCATGCCCCTCTGCACCCCTAGGTCGCCCAAAGAGAAGACATCTAACCTCTTCAGTCCGAAACAAGCGAACATCTCGACGGACCAACGGCCAAGCCCTCTCACCGCAATTAATTTCTCTAATACAACATCATACGAGGCATCCGAGGATTTGAGCGCTCAGGTTCGCCATTGACGAACTTCTCTGCTAGTCCTTGCACGTACTCGGCCTTCCGCTGCGAAAGACCCGCTGTACGCAGCCGCTCAATGGTACAGGCCGCAACTTGGGACGGGTGCGGGTGCGGGAATCTACCGCCGTTATCAAACAGGTCAATAAACCGTTGCTTGATCGCCTTGGCCGCTGCCCCTGAGACTTGTTGCGAAATAATGCCACTGCATAGAGACTCGAAGGGGTCGATCTTTTCATTTAACCCTTCTTCTGAGAAAATTCGACAGTGATGCTTCTCAATTAGAGGTTTCATCCGCTCGTCGACGCTGATGAGGTACTTGCATGCCTCTTCAAGGAGATTAGTCGTCGTTACTTGACTGGCCGACGCCTTAGATGGGGATATATGCCTAGTCACAACTCGAGATGTCTCCGGTGAGAGAAGTGTCGCATTGGTGGCGTTTGGATCTGCTAGTCGCCTTACAGCTTGCTTTCGGTTTTGGCGTCTCGAACGTCTCGGCCGGCTTGCTTATGAGCCGCACGTTACTCGGAGTAGGCGTTGCGGGTGGGAGATCAACGGATTTCTTTTGAACACGACGCTTCTTGGGAGTTATGGGTGCCGTTGCTATTGTGTTTTCATCTACGGTCTCGTTCGAGCTATGCTCTTGTGGTGGATCTGACGTTGCCTTCCTCTTACGGCCCCTAGGTACTGGAGCAGGCGGAAGGACTGATTTGGAGTCTGAGTTCGTCGACATGGCGCTTAATCGCGCAGACCTACGGGTTGCCATATTTACTATTTGGTAATTATGTGATAAATTCTGTCGTAGTAGAGGTGCAAACAAGGAATTCCCGAAGCCAATGTGATATAAATAGCGCCTGTGTGCTGCAAAATATGAGAATGTGAATATCTGCGGTGACCTCACGATTGGTTTGCAAAAATAGAAATGGGATTTTAAAATGATGTTTTGATAACTTCGAGGAGGCATATGCAGTTCACGATTCAGTAAGATGAGATCCGCTGCGATTAGTTATTTAAGTGAGGATCATCGACTTGATTACCAACTGCATAAAATAGAGAATAACTATAATTGAATGTTCTCAGGGCATTCTTTAGCTAGCATAAACTAGGAAATATAGAAGAGATATAAATATAGACTGAGTAAGGAATATGAAGTGTACTTAAGTTAGTTACATGAAGTTTAACTTGCACCTTTGCTTTGTCATCTAGAAGTACCTAAAGTAAGAAAAAAAAAGATGCTAGTTAGAACCAATAAAATAATTCATTTCTGACTCATTGTTAATAATAATCCCTACACATGGTGGTTGCCTATTTGCCCTGGTCTTTAGGTGAGATAGCCGTTTCTCTTCTGGGGTATCGAGTCTTTTTTATTTAAGAACATTAGTTAATCCTCGATCTCGAAGAGCTAGATCACCTATCCATTCTGTCGGTTCCGCAACCATATTTAGACTAACGATTGGCGTTAGACATGTGCTATTGGTACTTCGTACAAATCTTGAAAGCCTGTTTCTTACAGGTCCAGTCCAGTCTTAGCGCTGGGGCACGGATATAATTCTCCTATGCAACCTACCGGTTTCCATGTCGCTTAATCGAACACGAGAAGGTAAAAATAATTTAAGGATTCTAGCAAACCTATCTCAGTAGGTTTTGCTAAAAATGGTTAGCAAATTCGATGGGAATGTGTTGTAGTATAGTATAATAACCCTACATGTAGTAATGTAATCTCTTAGTTGAAAACACCCATTTCATTCTGCATGCCGAGCCAAGCAAAGGCCTAATAAACCCAATTACCCCTAAAATTTCAATGCAGTCTGATCTGAGCACGCACCAAATCCGTATAATAATAGAAGCAAAGAATGCTGAAAGACACGTATACTTGCCACTACTTAACTTAGTATACAAATATTTATAAGGCTCCTAATATCAAATAATTATTTAACTACATATTTAATAAGATATCAAATAGAAATTATTAGAAATACTAACGAATTATAGTATATGTCGCTACCTTAGATATTAAACTCATAGTTCCCGTGAAATTTTACTTTACAGCGTTGGCACTGCTGTTATGCCATTCCCTCTTCATACTTCGTACGTGCATACATGCACTGAAGGTAGGTACATCGAATACGCAGTTTACGCAATAGAGGTACATCATCAATATGTACCTAACGTGCATATACCTGAGGTCCTCGGTTCTCCACTCCTAAAACCATAAGCCCCCGTGGGTCTTTCCAAGTCTTAACTTTGGGGGGCTTAGTTTAGTTGTCTGCGTGCATCTCAAGCCGCCAGTGGTTCCAGGCCAGTTACGTTTCGTGTCAACTAAACCTACCAAAACCTACCACTGCATGACCACCCCCATCTTGACTTTTTTCAACATAACCGGTTCGTCCAATTTGGAACCCGCCGCGCCAATTCACTTCATTAATCTTTGGTGCCGATTTTCATATCTTCGCAATTAACAGACAACCGCGATAGCATAAGGCCGACCTTCTTATCAGCGATTTCGAGATCCATCTAATTATTACACTCGTTGATCCAATAGATTTTCGTTGTTTAAACCGCCCTTCTTACCGTTGTGTTATCCCTTCCAAACCCTGATACCCCCGAACGAGGCCGGCCCCAGAAACGAACAAGAGCCTGCCTCCCATTCGCATTTGACTTTCAACTTTCCCTTCATTCGCTTGTTATCGCGCAAATTTAGGGTGGTGCTAAGGGCCGCCCGAAGAGCTCGTTCGCCATGCTTCTTCCTAAAGGTGGCATTACTTGGAAGTCCGCAAGGGCACAACTTCCACGCACCAGAGCCATCTGGATCTTCTTAACAAGAACCCGCGTGCTCCTCTCTATCGCTGTCGCCGGTATCATCTTATTACTATGGCGCGGTATCAGAACCTCAGCAAGCGAGATGCAAAGGTATCGTTCCATTTTATAGTAATCATTCTAAACCTATATCTTACTGACATGTCTGGCTTTTTATCTACTGCTGGGGCCCTTCAAAACCCCCAATGGATATGACACTCAACGAACAACAGGCTTGGAACGCTCATCTACAAACTCCTGTTATATTTAACCACCATGCTCCGATAACTATCAACGAATCGTCGATAACACATGTCAACCTCAACGGAATTAGGTCTACGCGCCAAGCTATCGACAACAACGAACGAGTACTCCTACTCACACCCCTTAAGGATGCTGCGCCGTACCTTTCCAAGTACTTCGAACTTATTGCTGAGCTGACGTATCCTCATCGCCTCATCGACCTCGCGTTCCTCGTTGGGGATTCGACTGATGATACTCTGGGTGTGTTAGGCATGGAGCTTGATCGCATTCAGAAGCGCCCGGATAATATCCCGTTCAGCAGTGTAACGGTTGTAGAAAAGAATTTTGGTAGTCAACTCAGCCAGTCTGTTGAGGATCGACATAGTTTTGAGGCTCAGGGTCCACGACGAAAGGCCATGGGTCGCGCTAGGAATTATTTGCTATCTGCTGCATTGAAGCCAGAACATTCTTGGGTATATTGGCGTGATGTCGACATCGTAGATAGCCCTAAGAAGATCCTCGAGGACTTCATCGCTCACGATCGAGACATTTTAGTTCCCAGTATGATTTCCCCTTCAGGAATTATATCCAAGGCCTTTCTACTAACATAGTACAGACATTTGGTTCCATCGTTACGAAGGCACAGGGGATAACAAATACGATATTGAAGGCAGATGTAAGCATACCTTTGGGGGTGATTTTAGTATCATGACTAACTTAAAATACAGTCGATTATAACTCTTGGATTGAGTCAGACAAAGCTCTGAAACTTGCCTCTAAACTTGACAAGAATATAGTTTTGGCAGAAGGTATGATTTTGTTCTAGAATTTTGACTCTGACCACTGACACATTGTTGCCTCGAAGGTTATAAGCAATATGACACGGGTAGAACATACATGGCGCGGATGGGCGATTGGCGAAACGACCCGGATGAGGAAATTGAGCTCGATGGTATCGGCGGCGTTAACATCTTAGTGAAGGCGGATGTTCACCGATCAGGTTTGTTTTCCATACTAATCAAGGAGACGAAGGCTAATAGAGACCTGCATAGGTATCAACTTCCCATGCTACGCATTTGAGAATCAAGCCGAGACAGAGGGTTTCGCAAAGATGGCCAAAAGAGCAGGCTATGAAGTCATCGGTCTGCCTAATTATGTCGTCTGGCATATTGACACAGAAGAGAAGCCAGGGAACGCATAGACTAGCGGCAACCCAGCTTTTCGGAAACGAAGCATTTTAGAATAATATTTCTTTATCTAACATACTCGCATTCCTTCAGTGTACCAAATTGGTCCGCCAATCTCGAGCATTCGACATCCAGGCGAGACAGGGAACGTAATACTTGTACGAGCAACTCACGAAACACGCTATATCACTGCATCAAAATACCAGCACCGTCAGATATGTTAGGCAAAGAGGCGTTAGGAAGGAATAGGATAAATCGATCCTCGCGCCGTTTAACTTTTTTCTTATTCTTTTCTCTGGCATAGCGTTCGAAAGGGGGAGTGGAAGTCCGGTAACTCATACCAGCAAGCGCGCTTCAACCTTGAGAATCAACTCACAGCTTTCGTCACGCACTTCCCACCTCGACGTTCCGCGCCTCATATATATTGGTTGGTCGGTCGGTTGGATGGTTGGTCAAGCTGGTTGGACTTGTATGTTTTGTCGGGCTTAGGAAAGGCCACGATGACATGTTATGACCGGGGCATCCGTGAGCTTTCTGTAATAGAATTTGGCTGTTCATATTGCCTCCGGACGGATCTTGGAGGTAGGCGAAGGCGCCAAAATGTGCGCATGTGGGGCGTGCTGCACGGAGTTTTGTTGGCTAACTGCTGTTGTGACATCTCACTGGCAATATATCTTGTACAGGGTTTTGAATCTCAGCCGTAGAGAACTACTGCTTTCAGGAGTCCGTAGGGTATCAAAAGCGCTGTTCAGCGGATAACCTAGCAAAACTAATATATGCAAGCTGTTGCATGTGTATGCCCTTATGCCAGTGTTTAATATGGAGATATGTAATGCTCTGACTGTTTAATACTACACATTAAATAGTTCTAGGTAGATATGTATTTCATTAAACCTGGTGACTCTGTCAAGTAGACCTAGTATATCAGACGTTATGCGCCACGGTTTATCATCGAGGCTAAACGCTAGATCTATAAAGTACCAAGCATCAAAAGTCGGAATTTGCTAAACTCTTAGACTAGAATTGTACGGGGTTGAGGGGAGACAAAAAGGTCTAGGTATATACAGGTATGATATCTTGGAACGTTCAATTCATCAGTATAACCTGGACTCCTTGCGGACAAGCTTGTCCAATCACTCTATTCTTCTCGTTAACGCAGGTTTAATTGTACAATTTTGCCGTTCGACGCTATTTCTATTTAATGGTTTCGAACGATGGTCAGAGTGTCCAAGGCCTGCTTCTCCTTCTCCTCGGCGTGGATCTGGTCGATCAAAGGTTGTAGGTACGGGACGTCCTGTTCCACCCATTCTGTTAGCATGGATGTTTTGAAGAGTATCGCATGGTTCTGTTCAAGTAGCGTCTCGGCTTACCTCCTCAGGCTTGGTCCACTCCTCCTTGGGGAGCAGCTTGTGGACGGTGCTGGCTTGGAACGCACGTCGGAGTCGGTAGACACGGTCGTAAGCTTCTTTCGGCGGCAGGCGCTTCAATGCCTTGATGACGTTCTCGTCCTCCTCGACAATCAGATCGTCGGCTCTGTAATAAACAAATTAGCAATCCGAATGTATCCACCATCCTGAACATCGTCAGGCTCTCAATTGGGGAGTATTTGCGTACCGAAGACCAAGTTGGCGGTACCCGGCGGCATTTGTATACCAGCTTGCGACGGGCTTGAGCATGTTCTGCAGCCAAGGCCGCTTGAAAATGAAAGGCGCGAGAGTCGGGTAAGACGTAGCCATATGTGACGGTTGGCAAGTGTGTCTGGCGATATGAGGAACTCCCGAGAATCGTGATGTATTTTGTCGTGATTGAGGGCGTTAGCTTGATTTTCGGATTTGATGTTCCAAAATGGCTCTCTCTCAATTGGATGGGTCACGTGATGCACCGTACCCTTGGGTAGTGGCTCCGGAACGGGGAACTTGGAACTTGGCCCTTGGCCCTCGGATCGAACCTAGATACTAAGTACCTAGGTACCTTAGTTGTACCTCCCCTCTTCTCTTAATAGATGAATGTACCAGGCCATAGAGCCTCCATCTTATGTTGTGTATCCCATCCGAAAGACCTGGCGTCATCATACTAATTAAAATATCAGGACAAAGAAGTATTTGACTCAATGTGACCATGTTTAGTACCATTCTAATCTACTGTTGTATCTTTTTTCTACAGCAATGGATCTTGTGTTAATCTACCTAAATCAGAGGTACATGTGTACCTTCAAAGCTTAATCCAAGCAGACCCCAATTGCCAGTTGGAGATCTAATAGGTACCTACCTACATAGAGGTAAGATGTGCAATTGCGGGAATGAGCAAAGTACCTATAGCTTATTTTGTTACAGTCGAGGTACACGGAGATAGTTAAAGGCGATCGGATAGGATACCTACGTCAGAGGGAAGCTTCAATTCCTTGCTGACAACATAAATGCTTACCTCTTACACACACGATTTAGTCCCTTAGGTACAGTATGTAGGAGCTACTTTTACAGCACTTTTTAATCTCAACAAGCAAAGCATATCACTCAACTAGAATTAACTAAAGTTACATCTATATAAATTACCGCAATCTTGTTATATTGCCTAGCTGGTTTTTTTATTTTTTATTTTTTACTCTTTCCCTGTTTAGCCTTGGTCCTTTATCTAAGTTGTTAAGTACTTAACTTACCTACGTAAGATAAGTATTAAACATTACCTACATAGTGGACATCCTATCGATACGGTTTTCTTGTCCACCTCATTCCCGCGCTAAAGTTGATGTAATCTACCTGTTCGTCGGGTAGACTCTTTCTCCTTCGATTTGATCCATATCTGATCCCAATCACGTTTGACGATTTAGAGCGACCTTAGTAACTTAGCGACCCAGCGACCCCAGCGACCCGCCTACCCGCTTAGCTTTTTCGTTCCAGTTAGTATAAGTCCGACCATTTACTTCGGACTTGATACATAACCTAACAATTCGACTCAACAATTCTCCATCACCATCTTTTCGCATCCCCCATTTTCTTCTCTATATCACCCACTTTTACATACGCCTAGTCGAAGCTCTATCTCACTCGCTCGACGGGCGCTCTTACGAATGTCAATGGCATGTGACAGACGGTAGCTGCTGGGTCGACGGGACGGTGGATTTGCGAGGGTGCATTCCCCGCACACCGCACACCATCACGACTCTTCTAGGCCGGACTCGAGGCGAACCCATCTTTTGTCTAGTACGCCACACTTGTCTTCATTGCCGTTTTTCTAGGTCACGCGCCGCCCGCCTTAGACACGTTTTTGTTTACCGGGGCCTCTGAATCGCTTCCAGAGGCCCCGTATCCGATTCCCGTCCTACTCGGACTCACCTACCGGATAAGGGCATGTCTCACGACGAAGCTCAAAGTAATTCGACGGGACCGTCGTCACACAATCCCGCAGAATATGGGGTTTTCTCCCAACGCTCCTCTCCGACATCTACTTCCACCGTTTCGTCGGCGAACACCCCTCACCAAGAAAACCAGAGCGCTTTGGCATCTGCGGTAGCAGCGATGGAGTTGCACGATTCTACAGGTCTGGGTTTAGTACAAAGATGGGCCGCGGGCGCGTCCGATACTCAGTTTAATGCTTTGTCCGGAGCCATAGGCGGCTTCACTTCCGGCATCGTCACTTGCCCACTCGATGTTATTAAGACAAAGCTGCAAGCTCAAGGAAGATTTATACCCGTTGACAAAGGAAGATATGTTGGACACCACAGAGTCTATTCGGGTCTTGTGGGTACGGCGAGGATTATATGGAGGGAAGAAGGTTTGCGCGGCATGTATAGAGGTTTAGGGCCTATCATTCTTGGTTACCTGCCGACTTGGGCAGTTTGGTTTACCGTTTACAACAAGAGCAAGGTTTTCATGGCTGATAATAAGCGTAAGTCGTTCCGCGCAGACCCAAAATGAAGCCAATAACTAATTATTCCGTTCGTCCTACAGTGCAGAAAAATCAGTTCTTCATCAACTTCTGGTCATCAATCATAGCAGGGGCTAGCAGCACGTTGGTAACAAACCCAATATGGGTTATTAAGACTAGACTTATGTCACAATCTGCTACAGGAGTCAATAGACAACTATCTATGTTCCCGCGATCAGGCAACACGCCAACTTCTAGGCCAACTATCGACTCTCCCTGGCACTACCGTTCAACTCTCGACGCTGCGCGTAAAATGTATTCTTCCGAAGGTGTATTATCATTCTATTCTGGACTTGCCCCAGCACTTCTGGGCTTAACGCATGTTGCCGTGCAATTTCCTGTTTACGAATTCTTACGGATGAAATTTACCGGTCAGGCCATGGGTGAAATGGGCGGTGACAATCAGCATAGTCATTGGTTTGGTGTGCTCTCTGCGTCGATATTATCGAAAATTATGGCTAGCTCGGCCACATATCCGCACGAAGTAATTCGGACAAGACTACAAACACAGAGGCGGCCGACTCCTGGAAGTGAATACCTACAAGGTTTAGGGGTTTCTGAGTCTACACCCGGCAGCCGGAATCACATACCGAATAGTGAATGTAGTGTTGCCCCCGAACCTAAATATCGGGGCGTGGTTATGACATTCCGTACTATTCTACGGGAGGAAGGATGGAGAGCGTTCTATGCAGGCATGGGTGTCAATATGATGCGGGCCGTTCCGGCAGCAACAGTAACGATGATGACATACGAGTTCGTGATGAAGACATTACATCGCGTGCAGGTCGAAGGTCAGGAAAAGAAGAATTCGAATAAGGTGACGGTTCGCGAACCATGAATGATATTTAGAGATGCAAATCGACATTTGCACATGTTAGGAAAAACATATTCTCACGTTGTGGGAATGTGAGGCTAGAAGGGCCAGTTCTCATTGTGTTGCAAGAGAAGAAAGAAATCTAGCCGGTTGATACAAAAACCGGCTTCATGGGCCAGGGCGGTTTAGGGTTGGTCTAGATACGATACCCTTCTTTGTAGGTATAGATACACCCAGATCACAATGTAAATAGTAAAGCAAGTACTACTCTGCTAATTCGTCTTGTTACTGGTGTGAATATTGAATCGACGACTGAAGTATTTCTTATTTTAGCTTATTTCATTAATAAACCTGACCTTCTGATAGCCCATAATGAACCCAACATCGATTTGAAATTTTATTCTTTCAATGTTAACGAAAGGAATATAGGCACAAGTATAACTGCTGAAGTTGTTTAATTACTAAATGGCAGTCATATACAATAACATACTTGATAGTAGTCCTCATTATCATACGTAAAGCAGTCTCCAAACGCCCAATTGACATATCCCTTAACAAAAGAATATCACTTTGCGGCCTGAATTCTCATAGGTGTGTTCGGCCTCTTCATGATCTCGCCTAGTTCCTATTGCTACTCCCCTCCCATCAAGCTCTCTCAGTTACTCTCACCCACATATCCTTCTGGAGAAATATATTGCGATCCACGCTGTATATGGGCTTCTTTGGATTGATCAACTGGAAATCAAAGTAACGGAGCAACTGGAGCAAAAGTGCTATGTTAGCTAACATATACTGAGGACTTGTTTTATCTCAAACGAATGGTAGGAAGAAGATATATGTGTGTGGAAGGGGGAGGGAAGATAGAAGATAGAAGATAGAAGTGGTTAGGTACTTACTTCAACATAGATTTTATTCAACTCCGTGAACGCAATACTCTTTCCCAGACAACCGAACTGACCGTAGCCAAAGATAAGCTCTACAGTCTGGGTCATCCTGCGGTGTTTTTCTACGTCGATATCGAGCCAACGCTCAGGTCGAAATACGTGCGCATCGCGGCCGAAGGTGGCTGTCGAACGGTGTATAGCGAAGTTGTTATGACCGATACGAGTTCCTCCTGGGATAAACTTGCCGTCGACTATGAAACAATCAGTGTTAGTAGTTTCTAATGTAGACAATATTGAACCCGTTGAGTTGAGTTGAGTTGAGTTGTGGCCTATGTTAGTAGTACTAAACCATACTTACTTATATCTCCTTCAGGGGGAACTTCCTTCGAAAGGAGGCTGGATAGAGGAGTATTGATACGAAGACCTTCATATACTACAGCCTTGACCCGTTGCTGTTAGTACGAGCAATCCAACACCCCTTTTCTCCGGATATATCCATACCTGTAGGTACTCTAGCTTCGTCGCCTCATCCTCCTTGATCGGTGATGAAATCTGGCCTCTTGCTATAGCTCCATCTATCTCTTCTCGTAGCTTAAAGTAAACACGGGGTGACGATAGTAAGCTAAGCATCGTCTCGCAAATGGCTGTAGCGACTGTACCACTACCGGCTATAATCTGGAAGGGGATTTCGGTCTCGCATTGACGACGCGTGAAGCCATGTTTTATAAACGACCCCTATTAGAGATAACCCCATTCGTCAGTAAATTGAAGAGCAAAACGAGGGAAATTTGAAAATCTAATATAGGGGATAACCTTACTATTATGTCTTGCCGGTCTTTAGCATCAGGTCCAAAACGTTCCTCGGAGGTAACAGCCTGGGCAAATCTTTATCCGCGAGGATCGAGTTAGTTTCGAGGAGACTACTTGAATTTCTTATAGGTAGGTATACTTACCCCATCATTTTCCCTCTCCCATTCTTGTCCGTAGGTTCTGGCCCAAATAAACGGAGGAAAGTCTTGCTGAACACCAGCCCAGTGAGCCAGGGAAGGTCAAGCAATACCGACAAGGAATTTATAGCAGCCTCCATAGACTCAACATGGCCATGTACGTCCGAGTCCGTCCGCAGATATCCAAACGCCCGGCCGTAAGCAACTTTGCTGAGGACGTCTAGTGCGAAAAATGTTATCTTGCCAGCAAGATCCAGTGATCGTAGCTCATGATCCGACGACAAATACTTGCGTCGAATCAAAGCTACAAATTCGGCCAACTGTTCATCGACACCTAGTGCTGAGTTCTCCTTATTCCTATACCCGGACGACATTCTCGCCTTTATCTTAGTGTGTTCGGCGGTGTCCGTCATACTGAACAAAGATGCGTAGTAAGGGTCTACACGGGTCTGTTTATACCACGATGAACGCCGATACTTAGACCGCGCACCGCTCATCCGCTGGATGATCTCAGGGTCACTGGTTATAAGATCTTTAGGCCCGATGCGCACGAGAGATCCGTACTTTTGGTCGAGCTTCATAAAGCTGATGCCTTGGCCCTTTTTAAAGGTCGCCCAGAGCAACCATAGGTACGAAAAAGAAGCGAGCCAGGGCCCGTTGATGTGCCGGAGTCGGTACCATGCTAGGAAGCGAATATATACCAGGCTCAGGAGTAACAAGCCAGGTATAGAAAAGATTGACAAATAAATAAGGGATCGGTCTGACAGGTACAACATCATGTGAGATATCTATAGATTTATATTACTTGTGATAAAGTTTGGGCAACTATCTGTGTAATTATCTGGCATGACTGTTCTTATACTTGGATTCTTTCGATACACCAGGCTTTTAACTAACCATGCTCCAAGACTTGCGAAGAAACCTCCTATCCAATACCCAATGTCACAGGGAATATTGTCTCAACATGATGTGTTAATCGATATATGATTGGGGAATACCTTGGAAGATGGCGTCGTGTGTATAATCCTTCAGATCGAGTGACACACTGGCAATAGACTACTAGCTAAAGGGCTTAAGCCACGCTTAAAGGGGGATAGATGATCTTCGTAGTCCCTAAGCAATATACCAAAGTAATCCTCACGAGCTTAGCTTACGTTAGGTAGTGTAGAGCCTCCGTAGTGGATAAGTAATGCTTATGCACCCCAGTGCCACTCCTTCGGATTTAATATGCATATAATGCTACATTATTTTATTGGCTCGATGTTGCCAAAGGTCCCATCTGTCTTCTGCATGTGCTAGGGGCTCTGCTGGAGTTAAGAAACGGATCCGGGGAGATTATGAAAACAAGGCTGCTATGGCCTCAGCCTACTCGTGTTTAGATACCTTCCTATATTCTATTATAGACCTGATATTGGTTTATGACTCTTCATGGCAGATTATGGGATAAAAATGCTACGTAAAACCGTGCTGTATCCTGTGAAAAGGACTGGGGTGTTCAAAGGATAAATAGGAGGCAAACCGCTTCTCTGGTCCTGCTTGTTTTCTACTCATCTTCATACATATAAACGAAGTCATATTTTACCTAGTTTCATAAGACTCCCTTTCTAATCCAAGTGAAGGCATAGAGCATCGTCTATATAAGAACATAACCATCGAGTTAGAACCACGAGCACCAGTTCCCACCATGGCAATGATATCACAAGTTCCATTCCAACTCACCGGCCGCTATGCCGAGCATAGCAAATGGGAAGTTCTCAACGGCCCGAGAGACTCCCGCCCAACCGGACGAAACGTGGTCGAGGATGAAGGTCTCGTCGGGGCCATGAGCGACAAGGTCATTCTCATTACGGGCGTATCTGCCGGCATGGGGCCCGAAACCGTTCGAATTCTGGCATTGACAGGCGCCACCATCTTCGCGACGGCGCGGAACCTCGACAAAGCACGGGAGGTTCTCGGCGCTTCTCTCCTCGAGACGGGGCGTGTGCATCTCCTGTTCATGGACCAGACCGACCTTGCAAGCGTCCGGAAATGCGCCGCTGAATTCCGCCAGCGAAGCGGTGGCAAGCTGAACATTCTGATCAACAATGCTGGCGTCATGAAGACACCTGAATGTCGTACGAAGGATGGCTTTGAGCTGCAGTTCGGGACGAACCATCTATCCCACTTCCTCCTCTTCTACTTGCTGAAGGATATTCTGCTCGCTAGCTCGACTTCCGAGTTCCACTCACGCGTAGTGAATGTTTCGTCGGTAGGCCATCGCTTCGGTCCCGTGCGCTTTGACAACTTGAACTTTGAGGGTGAATACGAGGGTTGGGCCGCATGTACGTTGAAATTTCTTCCCTTTATTGGGTACATAAGTGATACCGGAAGACTAACGCTTGTCCTTGTAGACGGACAATCTAAGACGGCCAATATCTACAGTAAGTATAATCCATTTCCCCAGTCTTTCTTACCCCTATTTCATTCTTAAACCCAACCAGCAGCTCACCAAACTAAACCCAGTGGCAACCCAAATCGAGCGACTCTACGGCGCGCAGGGCCTGCACGGGTATAGTCTCAACCCGGGCAGCTTCGACAACCCCAATCTGCAGAAATTCTCTCAGGAGGAGATGAAGGCCGCAAAGAACGACGACCGGATGGTGAAGTATTTCGTGAGTCTAGAGCAGGTGTGCGCAACGAGCGTCTATGCTGCCATCTCGAAAGAATTAGAGGGAAAAGGAGGGTTGTACCTCGAGGGCGCGTCGGTGGCTGGCCCCCGCCGGCGAATAGCGATACGGTTGAGTACGGGTACGGCGAGTGGGCGTTTGATCGTGAGAAAGAAGAGAAGCTGTGGGAGGTTAGTAAGGGGTTGGTTGGCGTGGAGTGATGGATATATGGTCCTTCACAACTGTATTTTTGTAAATACCTAGATAGCATGTTTCGATGTTGTATCTCGTAGTCTTGATATACTGTCTTCATATACTTTGGTTACATTTGTAGAACAACAATTCTTGTACCTTATTTGATTTGCTTTATACAAACATCAGATGAAATACAGCACACAAATTGAAAGCTCGCACAAGGGAGGCTTTTATTTCTTCTTTTGTTTCTTTCCTTTTTCTGCGACTTGACTATGTCGCTCTTGGATTTGAGTTGCGTATCATTGGATACGATCAACTGACTCTATGTTCAAAAAAAGATTGACCTTTTCCGCTCTCGCTAACAAAAACACACACAAACAAATTCATTAAATCAACATATCACAAACCGGTTCCGAAGCACTTCCAGAACCGCCCGGCTCGATGCCTTATCCCGGCAGAGCATGAAAACATGTCATAATAACCCGCCTCCCCATCAATTGGATTCGTGACCATCGTGAGCCAGCACGTGTTAAAGGGCAATATTGCCTTTATTCCTACCACCCATCACATCGTCGACCAGGCCCTTCCACATGTTCGTAAGCATGCCCTGCTCCTGCTCCGGTTTCGACTCTTCGTGGACGAACTTCAGCTCGACACCGTCGATGCCCATGCCTTCTACCTCGGTAAGGGCAGAGGGGGATACGAGCTCTGGGTTGGCAGCAACGATGCTGATTTGGGCGGGAGCAATAGGACCGTCTGTTGCCTCAGGGGTGTGGTGAGTGACGAAGTTGTCGGGGAGTAAAGGGACACGGAGGTGGGCGAATGGGTCGTTAGACGATCCCTGGAGGGCAGCTGAGCCCGGGAAGAAGATATGGTCCATCGTGGTGGCATCGGCCTGAGTAGCCTGAGGAGCACTCGAGGTGAAGCTTTGCATTAAGCGCATTGTGCGAGGTGGAGGGTGAGGACGGTTTGACGATCGTGTGTATAGGTGACGGGAATGCTGATTGGTTGTTAGTCACTTACAAGCTCTTCTCTCTTAAGCTAGCAAACAAGGTGCATAGTTCTATACTTACATCCGGATCTATATTCCTCTCCTTAAGAAGGTCTGCATATTTCCTCGATAGAGGAGCTGCATTTTTGGAGCCCGTAAGTAATGTGTTGGACTTGGGCACAGAGGCCGTAGCTGTGGTGCTGATTGAGCGGATGAGCTTTGAAGCCGGAGCTGTAAGGCGAGGACCAGCAGTCATGATGGTTGGAGCTCTAATGTGCACGGACCAGTGGTTGTCAAAGATGTTAAGTTTAGAGAAACTGGGACGAGGATTTGAATTGTGGGAAAGTTCAATGGGTTGATACAAAAGGTAGAAAAGAGAACAAAGGAGGTAAGGAAGGGGGGGAGTATGGGATGATTATGAGTAAATAGGTACGATAGAGATACGATAGAGGTACGATGAGTGGCCCTTATTGTTGAGAGGATCGGAGGTCCGGGGTAGATAGGGTGAATAGGGTGAATAGGCGGTAGGCCCGTAGGGGTGAGCTGACAAGGACCTGGTTGTCAGGTTGTCTGATGTTGTAGTGTACTATGGTTATATGGGTAAGTTTAAGAAGTGGGCTAGGTATTGTGGCCTGTGCTGCACCCATTACAGTATAGCGCCGCTCTATATAAATATAATGGTATAAAATTAGTCTTTAGCTTATTTAATTTAATCTAATAGAATATTTAAATTTTAAACTATTAGAAGATAATTTTAATATTTTTTATTATTAAAAAAGCTGTTGTTTTGGTTGAAAAAATGGTAATATTTAATGTAAGTATTTTGATGTACCTGCTTGTCCTGTCTTTGTCCGCCACAGCCACAAATACTAAGCCCACTCGTTAAACTTTGGCCTATAACCATAGTACCATACCATGTTTGGTGGATCGAATAAACCGTTATTTTACCGTTATTTTACCATTTATATATTTAAACGTTTAAAAATTAAGATTTAAGTAAACGATAAATAAAATTTTATATTTATTAAAATTATTTTTAACGTTTAAAAATGATTAAAATATTTATATATAGTTATTTATATTTTTAAACGTTTTATTTATTTTTAAACGTTATAACGTTTATAAAAAAGCTATAAAATTTACGGGAAGGTTATAGGAAAACTACGAAAGCCGGAAGTTACGGGAAGGTTAAATTAAGTACGTATATTATAAATATAAGGGTAGGTAGGTAAGTAAGTAAGTAAATAAATAAACAATTAATAAATTATAATAATTATAAATATAAAATTAGTTAAAAGATTGGTTATATATATAATTATTTAAAAAACTATTTAAAAAACTATTTAAAAAATTATGTAAAAAACTAATTAAAAAATTAACTAAGAAATTAGTTACTTATATATAATTAACTAAAATATTAAAAAGCTAAAAGATTAACTAATTAATTAATTGGTTGACTAGTTGGTTAATTGGTTAAAAAGTTGAAAATTTAAAAAAAAAAAAAGATAAATAAAAAAAAAAAAAGGGTTTTTTATATAAACCTATATATTTATATTACTTTAAATTTACTTATATAACTTTAATTTAAATTAAATTTTATTTTATATAGCTTTAATAAAAGTATAAAGTTATAATAAAAGTTTTTAAACCGATAAAAATAATAAAAATAATAAAAATAAATATAAATGTTTAAATATTTAAAAAAATATTAAATATTTAAAAAGTTAAATATTTAAAAAATTAAACGTTAAAAAAAATTTAAACATTTAAATATTATTTAATATTAAAATAATAATAAACGTTAAAAACGGCTAACGTTTTTAATCTTAAATATTAAAATAAAAATGAATAAAATAGTATAAATAGGTAAAAAAAATAAACAGTTATTAAACTATTTATTCAATCCACCAAAACCTGGTATGGTATATAGGAGGTGTACATTATGGGTTACCTATGGCATGGCTTGTTATATCTATGCACGAACGGCGGGGGACGGGATGATCGTGTTACCTATTCGACAGTCTTGATTCGTTCGAGGTGATAGTACCTATAGTACCTATAACACCTCGACTAAACGAATTAGTCGGATATAAAGAGCCAAGGGCGGCAGATGGAGCTTTGCCTTGCTTCTAACTTAGAAAGCTTGCATGGTCCTAGTGTATTGTATGTATTAACCATGCTGCTTTTGATACTAGAAGCAGTGAAGCTGATGGTCAGGCGGCCTCATTACCACTAATTCTCTTCTTAATACCTACGCTAGAAGCTACTAATATTAGACCCGCGGATCATCTGCCAAGATCTATAGTGATAAAACCTATTAATTGTTCTAATATTTAAAACGGCCAAGATATAATTCCCAGTTGACTATGTATGTACTAGTTAATTGTAAGTTGTAACATGTTTAACATCAGAATAGCGGTGGCATGATGGTGTTGTAACTGATATTCAAACTCGCCTATGAGCGTATGCTTGAACATCTTGCAAATCCTGCACATCTCTGAAAAAAAAAAAAAAAAAAAAAAAAAAAGAAAGATAAGTGTACATAATAGAAATGCCAAGGCTATGACCAGCATTTAGAAGATCTCTAATGGGGTCGTATTCTTCGTCGGAGGAACCGATGGGAGGCCAATAGGGATTCATAAAATAGGAGCTTCACTGGAGCTTTACTGGAAACTTCACTGGAAACTTCACTGACAGCTCTCCCCTTGTTCTCCCACCCGTTGAGAAGCGGAGCTTTCTTTTCAAGGAACACTACCGAACCAAATTACCCCGGATAGGTACCTAGTGATCCGTATCATCCCCGGAGACCCTATAACCCTAATAAGTTTAGCGTCATAGTCAACAAAACTCCAAGTCGAATCATTTTTTTTAGTCTCGTCTCCCATTTCAAGTAAAGTTTACATGGCTATTTTCTTGGCGTCTGTTCTAGAAGAAGCTTGCTAATATTTCCCCCTGAACAGAAAAAGGAGGTTTATCGTTATCTACAAATTCCCAAAAACGAAAACGGAATTATGACATGCTAATTAATATAAATGCGATAAGGCCAGTTTGTAAAGAGCTCTTGATGGTATCTTGACTTTAAAAAAAGAAAAAAAGAAAAGAAGATTACGGTCTTAAGTGTCGGCGATAAGGCATCTATGAGATACTCCGGCTACCGACATAAATGGTGTATATCGTCTAGATGCCAATCGGAGTCCAATTGAATTCCCCAAGGCCTTATCTAAAACATTAGTAGTTTGAGTTGGTATTTAAGTAAAGTCAATTGGTTTAGTTCAAGTCGCCAACAAAATAAACCATAATATATATAGATGGCGAGGGGACCAAAGTACGGATGAACCCTATTTTAAACCGCGTGGGTGTCCGTCTAATTTAGAAGACTGCATCAAGCGTGTCTAGATGTATACTCTAAACACACGACCAGCAGAGCTGCAGCAGAAGATGATAAAAATATACTTTAAATCCTTCGGTTGCCGTAGTACGTCAGCGCAACCACCACATCAGTCTACTAATGAACGCCATTCAAGCCATGAACAAGGGCTAGATCATTCTACGACGCCCCAAACCTTTGTACGAAATTTAATGGTCTCATTGTAAATTCCCACCTGATAAGATCAGGTTGAAGGTTTACTCACCGGTTCCCTTCCTCAAGCTTTATTAATTGATAGGGAAGCAAAACTCTTAGTTCGAGGGCTATTTAAGAGTAGAATAGACTAGTAGATGTCAGCGGATTTAAAACCCAGGTTGAACAGATATCTATTATAAGTAAAGTCCAGCAGCAGTAGTAGTAGGTAAGCCGAAATCCTATCCACAACATATATTCCGCGACCTAAAATCCGTAGTCGAGGCACTACCTAGTATCCAGTATCTGTAAGCCTCATTACGTCGACAGAGATTACGTCCGTAGGTTGCCAAAATCTTACCCGAGAGCTCCAAAGATGACGCCGTTCGGATGTAGCCTACTGGGAGCGTTTTCTGTCGCGGCATTTCTCTACGTATCTAAAACGATGTTATCTCCACTAGCATAGTTACGATATAACCAGGCAGCTCGGTGGTAACTCGAAGCGAGTCATGCAAGAGTTCTGTGATTCTTAGGATTCTTAGCCTATTCGCTATACGATTCGAGCCTTAGACTTCCCAACACATCTTATCCAACTACAGATATGAAACAACTTTTCCTTATTATACTACCATACTTAATGCATATAGACTTGGTTGGCTTCTGACCCTTGGTTCAGTTGGTTGAGTTGATAGCAACGCAATCACGCGCGAGTCTGGCAAAAGATTATGAAATATAGTATACTCACATGTATAACCAGCCCAACCTTTCTAGCAGAGTCAAAGAGATAATGCTATGCTATCTATCACTATTCCCATAGTTATCGTAACTCATAAGTTTCCACATAATGCTTCCTATCCAGAGACCCATCAAAGTATCCAAATCGGCCCTTCACCCACCTATGTATATACCTTTCCCAGAAGTCTAACCGGATATCATAACATAGCAATAAAATTTTCCTAACCCAAACTTCTACTCCTCAAGCTACTTTACTTCTTGGCGCTTAAGATTCGGATTTCTAAGCTTCTCTTTTGCCTCCTTCGTCCGATCATAAACGCCTTGCAAGTTGTTCGTCCAATTCTTATCAACTATCAGGTAAACCAGTAGACTGACGGGGATTGCGACGCAGAAGTAGACCCAGATCGTCCCGGTGAGTTCCGAAACGTTGGTCGACATGCTGAAAAAACTGGAGACGAAACTGAGAGGCGCGAATATCACGGCGAGATAGGTTAACCGACCCAATGTTTTATTTGCTCAACGGCGCGCCGGCTCTCTTCGATTGCCGCTACAGCCGTGGCGACTGCAGCGATACGCTCCGCGCGAGACAAAAGGTCTTGTATATAGTCGGCGACGATGGTAAAGTCCTTATTTAGGTCGTCAATGCAGTCTTGGTAGCCGGAGCCAGTCTGGGAGTCTGGGAAAAGCTTTGTACGTGTATCGGCAACCATGGCTCTATATATCGGAAGTCGCCGTCGCCACGTATGAAGTTTTTAAGCGACATGTTGAAGTTCATGGACTCGCGTTGGAGTTCTTGTCTGTATATCGAACCATTTAGGGCTCTCGATTTCCCATTCAATCTGACCCAGCCGCGCAGTAAGTAATAACGGCTCAAGGTCAGCCACTTACAGTATCTGAAGTTAGCAAGTCTTTTTTACTAAATAGTTTACCACATCGTAGTCTTGGGTGGTTTTATATAAGCA